ATCTTGGTGTAGATCTGTCCCAGGTACTCCTGGGGCTATGCGTTCAGGCTGTGGTCCACCCTAAGGTCCCATTCACCTGTGAAGGCCCTGGCCCGACCTAGCCTGCACCCCATGGCCCACCACCTGCCACTCTTGGTACACAGGGCACGGCCTCAGGCCCCTGATATTAGAGTTTGGTGGCCCCCACAGCCATTCAAGGCCAAATCGCCAGGAAGGAGGCGAAAAACATGCAGAGAGAAATTTCTCGTTACAGAATAAATTGTACCAGGTTTCCCACCTGTGCTGTCGACTCTTGACTTCCTGGGGAGATGACAGTGACACTCACCTGCCCCTTATCCCCAGTGGAACACCTGAGTGCTAAGTAGGGGGGCCCCACTGAGAGGTCTGGCTTGCCCACATCCAGGATTGGGGACGGCAGGAGAGGCCTTGGTTTTTATTTTTTGCATATTGTGGTGTGGCCAGCAGGGCCAGCTTATGGGAGTCAGTTCTTTCCTTCAGCTATGTGGGTTCCAGGAATCCAACTCGGACTTGGCGGCAAGCAGCTTTGCCTGCCATGTCTTTTTGCCAGGCCAGGATTTGGGACGGGTACAAGCAGGAGAGGTGTCCCGAGGTCTCGTGCTGGGAGCCACTCCAGGCGTGCACGCAGGCTAGCCAGGCCCCAGGCCTTCCATCTTGCCTGATAGGCCCTTCTCTTGGCTTTCAGCCACGCAGAGCTAATAGTGCATTAACCTTGACGGAACTGCCAATTATCCCTGCTAATGCCGGGGTGCAGTGACTGCTGACAGGCGGATGGTGGTGGGGCCACCTTCCCTGTGCTGGCGAGGAGGCTGGGGTGGGGGCTTGGGTCTCTTCTGACCTCATTATACTAATCACCCTGCCTTTTGAAGCTTCAGCAATGACTGAGCTGTGGGATCAGGGGCGCAGATCACAAAATTTGTGGGACCAGGAACCAGGCCCATTCCAGCAGCCACAATACAAAGACAGAAACCAATCAACAATCAGGGCAGAGGGCCACCAGAGCTGTGACTCAGGAGTGCTGGCTTCCCCTGAGTGCGGGCTGGGGGTGCAGACCATAAAGGTTTCCTTCGGGCAACAGGCCCAGCTGAGCAGGGACCCAGCCACTGGAGGGGACAGGCAGAGACAGGCAGGGGTGGGGCCACAGGATGTGGAACGGGGCACCACCCAATGGGTACCAACACTCCTAGTAGGCCCAGGCAGACTCAGGGTCCCACCTCAGCCCAGCTGGAGAGTCTGTGGGGCATGGAAGTGGATGAAGACTGGGTATCCACAGGACAGGAGCTGGGCAGCCAGTCCAGGCCACCCACAGGACAGGGTGGTTGGGAGGGTTCTGAACCTATTCCCATGTGGGGTCCTGGGAGGCGAGGTGGCGTATGACTGCCATCTGGTGGCAATTTGTTGTTATGACGAGGCAGAATGGGCTGGGGCTGTGACCTCAGGCAGCAAGTGATCCCTGTCTGGCTCCTGTAAGTTGTCCAGTCCCCCTACCCCCGCCCAAGCTAAGACCATGGCTAACGTTGGCTAATGCTGAACTGCAGCCCAGAAGTCCCTGGGAAACTCTGCCGCAGCTGCTGCCTCCAAACAAGTTGGAGGAATAAATAGGTCTCTCTAGAGAGTGACATCAACAGGCAGTCAGGAATGACAACCTCACCCACTTCACCAGGTCATCTAGGTGTGACGTCAAGGGGAGGTTTCAGGTCAGCTACAAGGCCACTGCTTCATTTATTGTCCCCAAAGCAGCTGAAAGGTGCACACTGAGATCCCAAGGTCCATTTGCTCCATCATACCTTGTAGGGCTGCTTGTCACTTATGGGAGGCAGGGGGACAGAGCTTTGGGGGCCTCAGGTCTGTGGGCTGGTCTCAGTGAGGTGAGGTCACATTGTCCTGGCCTATGGAGCAGCCGACGGGTTGTACAGACGCCCTCCAGGAAGGTTGACATCAGCGCCCGCAGAAGACATGTCCTCTCTCGTCCTTGTAGCCTACCACCCCCACCTCAGTATCTGCAAGGGGAGGGACAGGACAAGACATGGGACTGAGTGATGCTGGCTCAAGGGGCCTCCGTAGCCCAGTCCAGCCCAGCCCGCAGGAAGAGATAGATGCTCACAGAAGGTGCCAAAGCTGGTGTCAACCTCCTTCAGGAGCCCTGGAAAGCCAGATTTAGTGACTATGGGTCCTGGCTCTACAGCAGCCATCACCGTAACAGGACAGTCAGCCCTGATGCCACTTGGTCATCCCCAGTGCAGCTCTACTCTGTCCACAATGCCACCTCCCTGTGAGGCTCTCACCTGGAACTCTCCTGGGTCTGTTTCCATTAAATCTACCAAGATCTTCCTGACACCCTGCCTTCTTGACCCTCATTGAGAGATTAGCTACGCCTCCAGCCCTTTACTGGGGGACTCTAGGCGAAGGTTCTACCTCTGAGCTAGACCCTGAACCCTATTTAGAGACATGGTCTTTGCTAATTTGTCTCAATGAACTCCTTCCTACCATCTCAGATTCCTGGTTTCAAAGACGGTCTCTTCCTCGCTGTCCAGAGATGCCATCTCTTCATGTTCCTCTTTGTTGGTCAGAAGTCCATACCTCCTTCGCTGTGGCTTCTTGAGTCTGCAGGGGGCACAGACACCCTCAGAGCCTACCAACATGCTCCTGCCCACTCCAAGCCCCAAGGTCCAAGCCACCTGCAGGATGTGAGTCCTTTTGTTGGAGGAGCTACAGGAGCAACTCTGGGCTTGGTGAAAGCCAGGGAGGCACATGCGCAAACCAGCCACAGCTCCCTATTTAAAGCATAAACCGCAGTTTTTTTTCCCCCCGAGTCAGTGTCTTGCAGCCCAGGCTGACCATTTAATATTTTTTAAATTAATTCATTTTTATTTTATGCACATTGGTATTTTGCCACGGGTGTTAGGTTCCCTATAACTGGAATTAAAGACAATTGTGAGCTACCACGTGGGTACTGGGAATTGAACTCAGGTCCACTGAGCCATCTCTCCAGCCCTCGACCATTTAATTCTCTAGGTCAGAGTGTTGAGATGACAGGTGTGTCACCTCTACGCGGTCCTGGGAATGACACCCAGGTCTCTACATGTTAGGCACAAAGCTTTAGCCGCCGAGCCTCAATTCTGCAGGGTTTGTTTGTTTGTTTTTGTTGTTTGAGTGTGGAGTTTATTGAGATAAAGGGAATGGGTAAGGAAACGGGAAAGAGAGAGAGGGGAAGAGAAAGAAGAGAACAGAAAGTGCCTCCTCAGAGAAAAGGCTAAGGGAAGAGCGAATTTTGCAGTTCTTGCAGTCTGGCGCGGTTTTCTGCAGGCCTGTCACCACAGCACCGGGGAGACCGAGAGACCAGAACGGCCGACCTGAGGCCGCTGCCCACTTAGGCCAGCCCAGAAACCACAGGAGTCAGGACCAAGAGCTAGGCCGGATGCCCGCGTCACGTGCTCTCCCGCCCACCGCACAGTGACTTACTAGATGCTGATTGGACGCGCTAACGCACCTAAAAGCCCGGATGAGGAAGTAGAGCGAGATCAGGCCGCTGAGCCCGGTGATTACGTAGAACAAGCGGAGCAGCGTGGGACCCGTGCCCGAGGGCCCCGGGTGTGTACGATTACGAGGTACAGCTGTCCAGCTCGAGTTTTCGGTGGAACCCGGGATGATGCACGGGAGGAACAGCAGCAGCAGCAGCATCGTGCGCGGCGCCATGCCGAAGCCGAGGCGGAAGTGAGCACAACCCCGCCCCCAATGCCCCGCGCGTCTGCCGTTTTTTTTTTTTTTCTTTTCCTTTTAGTGCCTGATTGGGATGACAGGTGGGCGGCAAGACTCCTCCCCGCCACGCCCGAGTTATTCCCACTCCCACCACATCTTAGACCCAAGCAACACAGCAGGGTTCTGGGTCACAGCCCTTTATTCAGGCAGCCCCCCAACATTCTGCCCCAGCAACCACGCCAGCCCCAGCTTCGTTCTCTGATCCTGCAGGAAGCCTGCGTCGCCTGGGAGCGGGTGTCAGCTCAGGAATTGCCTGGAAGAGAAGAGGAAGAGGACATGGGTGAGGAAAGCCCAGTCCAGCCCCGGGGGACCCCCAGACCTCTGAGAACCGTGGGGATCCAGGGACTCCAGCCCCAGACCCCGTGCACTCACCTGGCCAACTGCGTGCAGTCTGCGGCTCCTGCTCGCGGGGAGCCTCCTAGGACCCGAAGTCACGGCCACAGCCATTCTCCCATGGTTCAGGTTGGCTCCCCTTCATCCTGCCAAACAGAGGCGCGTGACCCCGGCGTCCCCGTGGTTCTGCAGCGCCCTCCCGCCTCCCAGCCTCTCTGCTCCCACCCTCGCGGCGCCCACGTGGCTCGTCCCAAGGTGGCCAAGGCCCAGGGCATCAGCGCCCTTCTGCAGCCCCCCTGCTCAGCAGCCTCACGGACTCTGGGCAAAAACTAAGGACAACAGCGCGGGTCTGAAGCCTGTCAAGCAAGGAACAAAAACATGTCCACAAAGGCAGGCACCCGGTGGCTCTGGCCGGCCTCGGGAGGACTGGCAGGAGGTACCACCAGTTTGACCCGACTTCCAGGAAGCAAGGGTCAACCCCAGGTCTAAGTTTCCGTCCAAGTGAGCTATAAATCAGAGGGATGCGACACGAGCGAAAGTGTTACCTCGAGGCACAGGCCAGCTGCACAGAGCTAGCAGGGGGGAGCAGCAGGCGAGTCTCGGGTGGTCTGTGGCTCGCGTCTGTCCCCCGAGGGCTGCGGCTTCGGAGGCTAGCAGAGAATGCCTGGAACTGGCGGGGCGCAGCCGCTAGGCAGCCTCACTGGCCCTCCCTGTACCCGGCCCTACACTGGCCAAGGCCTCTGCCGCCCCGCTACCCCTCAACACTGTCCACTCCCGTTCCCACTGGGCTGCTTGGGCCTCCCGCACTGCCCTGCCTTCCTAGCTGCTCTGCTGGCCACGGAGCCGCAGCTCAGTGTGTCGGCAATGAAAGGGAAATGGTCAGAGTGAGGTTTGTTTCACACCGTCTTTTAATCGGCTTCGTGAAGCCAAAGAAACTGCGTACAAGAATTCCTTAGCCACTGCGAATACAACATCGATGGAGTATGCATGTCTTCGGTAAAAAAAAGGACAATATAAATAAACACTTCCACAGCCTGCTGGACTGCTATGCATCCCCACAGGCCGCGACCTGTGCCCTATAGGCAGGACCTGCTGTGCTCCGCAACAGAGCTGGGGAGCTGGAGAGCCATGGCTTGCTCAAATAGAGTCCATTTCATCCCAGGAGGAGTGGGGTGCCAGACTTCATGGGCAACCACACAAAAAAGAAAAAACAATACAACCGAAAAACCCGAAAAAAAAAAAAAAAAACCGAGCAACCAAAAACCCACACAACCCCGACAATTTAGAAAAAACAAAAACCCATGGCTCACTGTAAAAAAGTTAAAATCTGAAGTACTTTCAAAAACGTTTTCTATAATGCTTAAAAAGACAGCGCTTCCTTAAAAAGAAAAGTCTGGTCACAAGGCCATCTTGGTCAGAAGCAGGCTGTTGATGGGTCAGAACGGAAAGGACTACAAAAGTGGGAACAAGGTGCTCACTACACAATGTTCAGCGAAGCTCCCCCATCTTAATTACAGCCATGGAAGGACGATCTGGACGCAGAGGGCTTTTACTCGTTGTGTGTAGCTGAGGACAGAAGCGGGACAGTGTAAAGGCACTGGAGCTTGTGCTCCGCCCGCACGGGAGGTGGCACAGGGTCCCATGCACCTGGCGCCCTGTCCTGTGCGGCAGTTCTGGGAGCTGTGCCCCAGGCTGAGTGGCCTAAGTTGCTGAGGGCACAAGGGTTCACCAAGCCCAACCGAGGGCCACTTAGGTGGCGTCCTTGGAGCCAGACTTACCATAACTGTCATAGCTGTCTCTGTAGGACCCGCCCGAGCTCCGGTAACCATAGCTGCCACCCTGACTCCGGCTGTGGAAAGACACACAGACACTAAAGTGTACATGCCTAGCAACACTGGGCTCAGCCCTGCACCAAGTGCAGCTGGCAAGAGTGGGTTCCTAGTGGGGGCTGCTTGCCCTGGTGCCAGCTGGGTATTCAGCAGAGAACAAAACAAAAACACCTGCGCCCTTCCTGTGCTCATAGCCTGGGCCCAGCTGCTGTCACCAAGGCTGAGTCATCTCCCTGGGGCTCCCATCTGGCTCACCTGGCATAGTAGTCTCTGGAGCCTCCATAACCTCCACTCCGGGAATCAAAGCGGCCACCTCCATAGCCTCGGTCTCCCCCACCTGTAGACGACAGAACAGTTAGGGAGTCCCTACAGCAGTCCCACCACCAGTCCAAGGCCGTCAGCACTCACCTCTAGAGAACCCACGGCCCCGGCTGCGTCCCCCACGGAAGAAGCCTCGGCCTCCAGCGGAACCACCCCGGTATCCACGGGACCGGTTGTCAGAAGACTTGCCAGCCTGGTCAACTCGGATCTGCCGCCCATCCACAGACTGCCAAACAGAGGGAGGGTCAGCATGCCTACTCCACACCAGACCTGTGCAGCCCAAACTGGCTGACTTGATCCTCACCTTCCCATTCATAGCCATCATGGCGTCCTTAGCGTCATCAATGTTCTCAAAGGTGACAAACCCAAAGCCTCGGGATCGCTGGGTCTCCCTGTCCTTTACCACCACCACTGTAAGGGAGAGTCATTAGTTGTGCCCAGTCTGCCCCAGAGCAGAAACCAAGGACAGTGCTCCCTTACCCAAGTCTCACCTTCAGAGATCTGCCCGTACTTGGAGAAGACCTGCTCCAGTGCCTGCTCGTTGGTATCGAAGCTTAGCCCTCCCACGAAAAGCTTGCCTTCGTCTGATGCCATGGCAGCCTGCACACACAAATGTTTGTTTTGCCTTAACCCCTCCTCCACAGACTGAAGCCAGATAGCATACTCAGCCTTTTTTTTTATTCTTTTAGAGTTTTTAATAGTCAAACACTCATACACAAACATACTCAGCCTTTTTAAAAGCTTTTGAGACTGAACCTCCCTTTACAGCCCAGGACGGCCTTGGAACTCCCTGCTTGAGCGTAAGTGCTAGGATGTTGCAGTCCCGAAAGCTCTGAGGAGTCTCCTGCCCCTTCCTTCTCTACGTTTGTATACAGAAGTGACCCATGATCTTCCTGGGGAACCTGGCTCACACCGTCATCCAGCCACTCAGGCCACTCTGGTAGAAACATCAGACAAAGGACTCCGTGGAACAGCTTGGGACTGTTTGCAAACACTCCTATCATCCCAGCCTTTGGGATATGGAGGCACAAGGGTCAGAAGTCCAAAACCAATTGCAACTACACAGCAAGTCTGACAGGAGCCTCAGCTACATGCTCCATCTCAAAACCAGACACAAGGAAGTCTTTTCGGCTTTATCATCCCAAACCCACATCTAAGACTGTCATATAAATCAGGCTGACTGTAAATGGTGGTTCTATTGCTTAAGACAGTGAATTCTAGCCCATTTCCTTCAGTGGGTCTTCATTAGTCCTGTCCAGAGAACTCCAAGGTCTGGATCACCCAGCCAGAATGGCATGCTGGAAATTTATTCACTTTACAAGAGGATGAGTGTGGTTGGGGACAGAGATGGCAGCGACTTCCTAGCCTCACCAGCTGACAGTTGGGTCAGAGAAGCTTCATCACTGAAATACGTTTTTGGGTGCTGTCAGGGAGCTGTGACACTTATGGGATGCATCCTGGGGTCACAGCCCACTCATCAACCAAGGACTAGAGAAGTGCTTTTTGCTTGGTGGACTCCGAGAGAGGAGGTTGGCCTGAGAGGCGTGGCTATAGAGGGGCGTGGCATTTTAACAAAGTCATTATTGGCTGGGGAGAACGAAGACCTAATGGCTTGGAGAACAAGTCCACTATAGTATTCCTGGGCCACTATACCTGGGAAAAACAAATTTGGGACGTAAAAGGGCAAAATTCAAAACTACATGTGCTTTTTTTCCCCTCGTGAAACCAGGGGAAGACGGAACCAAGGCACAGCCACCTGGAGTAAAGGGTCACAGGCAACCCAGCTCCACATCGGCGGACAACGGGGCTCTGGAGCTAGGCGCGCCCCGCCCACGGAGCAGCGCATGCGCCACGCGCGCACCCTGCGCCATTTCATCCGGGCACTCCGCAGTCCCGCCATTTCGCCGGCAAAGCTTTTCAAAGCCTCACGGCCGCCATTTTACAAAGCCCACCATTAGGTCGGCATCAGCCCGGGGATGACGCGCGGTGGAGGACGCCCTCCGGGAAGCGTGAAGTCCCGGTGTCCCGCCGCCCGCCTCGCCGCCGGCGGGGTGGACTCCAACCCGGGCCCGCCCCCAAATCCCAGGGGCGTGCCGCTGCGGCTCCGCCTCGCCCGGGAGTCACAGGCCGCCCGCCGCCCCAGGCCCCTCAGAGCCGGTGCCGCCAGGGCCCTCACCGCTGAGTCGGGCAGGTCCCTGACGCGGGAGGGAAGACAGCGTGCCACACACACCCAAGCCTCCTAACGCGCGAGTGCGAGGGGGCGCGCCCGAGTCCCGCCTGATATACCCCTCCCCTGGGGCCCCGCCCCTGCCCCGCCCACTAGGCCGACACTGACCAATCCGACGCGCCAGACTCGGCAGCTCCGCTCCAGTGGAGGGGCGAGACTGTCCCGGCTTCGCTCCTGCCCGCGCGGAGGCGCTGAGCGTTCTGATTGGCTGCAACGTGCCCAGGCCGCATTCTCCCGCCCGCTAGCGGCCAGGGGGCCGGGACAGCGCGTTTCGGGGGCGGAGCTGACCCACTTCCGCGTTCCCCACCCCGTTGGCCTGCGGCGGGGAACAAAGAACTTCCAGGCTTTTGCTACCTCCGTGGGACTCACAAATAAGGCACGAACCTTGACATATCGACTTAACACTTCTCCAGTCTTTTTTTTCCTCCCGATGTTTTTATTACATTTATTTAGCTGAAGTGCGTGTGTGGAAGCCAGAGGAAAGTTTTCTGGAGTCTCTCCTTCCATCCTGAGGACCAAACTCAGCATTAGCGGCAAACGCCTTTACCCACGAGCCATTTCCTCTAACCCGGATCCATCTGACTTCCCTAGTGTCTCCCGATACAACTGATGCCTAGGCTCGCCGACATCCCATAAGTCATCCCAGTATTGGGCTCCTCTTCAGACTTGTTGTGGTACCTCACGTGCACCCAATTTAGTTTGCCTACAAATCCCACCTGCTCCATAACTGCCATTTGAACCCTGGTTTCTGCCCTCCCCCAAGCAGGTGCGCATCACCACATCACACAGCTGGTAGAGCGCCTGCATCCTGCACTAGGATCGAACCGGGGGCCTCAAGCAAGCCTGAGCCATACCCTCATCCCCTCACTGGGGGATTCTAGGCAGGGGCTACACAGACCTATATCCGTAGCTTTTTTAAAAACACATATATGAAAAAAACAAAACAGAACTGCATTTTTATGTATATGGGTGTTTTGCCTGAATGTCTGTACATCATGAGTCTGCCCTGTGCCCACTGAGGCCGTGTTTGGTTACAGTTGTGAACCTCTCTCTATGTGGATGCTGGGAATTGAACCCAGGTCGCCTCTAAGAGCAGCCAGTATTTGTTACCACTAAGCCCTCCTAAGTTTCCTGGCCTGTCCTTGACCTCTGTAGCCTCAGCCTACCAAGTGGCTGGGATAACGTCCTCAATGCCAGGGCACAGCATGGCATCTCCTTTCACGATATGGGAGGACCTGGCTGGCCTCTAACTCAGGCAATTCACTTCTTACCACGGCAGTGCCTTCTGCCCGAGGGAGCAGCTGGTGGCGACCTCTCCCCAGATGTGCTGAGGGTGTGATCTGCTGACATAGAGGACCAAAGCAGCTCAAGCCTGCTCCAAGCCCCAGACTCACTGACCCTTGAATGATGTTGGTCGAGGTGACCCATCTGTGCCCAGGAGGAGGAGGATGCCAGAACCCCTCAGGGACACAATGCTCCCTCCTCCTAGATGGCAGCTGGTGACTCATGACCACCCCCTCTGCCCCTCACCCCCCCCCCCCCCCCCACAATGCTCCCTCCTCCTAGATGGCAGCTGGTGACTCATGACCACCCCC